TGGTTCACCATGTCTTGAAACTCATTCAAGTGTTCTGCAACTGATCTTCCATCCCGGTATTTTAGATTTACAAGCTTTCTAATGACGAAAGCTTTATTCTGTTCAGTCTTCCTCTGGTACATTTGTTCAATTTTGTTCCACAGAGTATGGGCTTTTGATTCTGTGGCAACATGGTGGAATATACTGATATCCACCCACTGCCGGATTAAACTGACAGCCTTCCTATGTAACTTTTTCCAATCGTCATCCTTCACGTCATCTGGCTTGTTGTCTCCCTTTTCTACAGGATCGTACAGATATTTGTAGAAAAGTATGTCCTCCATTTTTGGCTTCCAAATGGAGTAATTTGTTGTTGTGAGCTTCACCATGGTACCCACGTTCTCCTCCATTTAATTTACACGGGTCGATACAGAGTCCAACGTGAGCTCTGATACCACTTGTTGGGCTCAAATGCACAAATGTGGAAGGTATAAATTAAAATACTAACTTGAAATGGTGAACAATAATCCTAATCCCAGCAACTCAAGAATGACAAAAGAAAATCTCTTGCAATAAAACAGGAATAATTCTTTTCTGATGTGGAAGTTCAGATTAAACTGCGACCACAGTGCATACTAAGAATATCCCAAATAAATAAAATATGCAAGAAATAAGACACCAAGATTTAACGTGGAAAACCTCCAAATTAGAGGAAAAAACAACGGGACAACCTCCGAACAATTCCACTATATTTTCAAGATAATTACAATATCTTTTCACACTCCCCTACACTAGAAATGTAAAATATAGTGACCCAGTGAGAACCCCACTCCTAAACAAGGAGTAATAGAGTTGATACCCAACCCGGTGTATTTTTCCCACACTCACAAGATTTACTCAAACACTCTATTTTTATCTCACTGAAAAATAACACTCCAGAAAATTTCCTTTCTGCTCTCTGTTTCTTCTCGCTTTGTGCTCTTCCTTCAGCTAAATGCTTCTCTATTTATAGGAGGAAAAACTGAATGTGAACAAATCAATTTTCGGCCAGCTCTTTCCTCTGCCAGCTAATTTGATTCCCTTTCTCAATAATTTTGTACAACTTCCAAACTTGCTTCCTTTTGTTTAATTTTTTATTGTTAATTTTGTTTGTATCTTCACATGTTTGGTTTATGTGTTTTGGCTGGACTTACATCTATGCACGTGGACTAGCCCCACCCAACCCACCATCGACTATACACACCGCTGGTCAAGTCCCACTGCCTCCTGCCGATAACCCTCGTCCTGTGTCGTCGTCCGAAGAATGCTGCGAGGTCTCTCGGATCGGTTATGACGATTCTCCCCTTCCCATCTATTGCGATGTCGTCTCCGATCTGCTCTCCCTGCAGCGACGCCTTCACCCAACTTGTAATTACTCATATCACTTGATCCATGGCGCTGACGATCGTGATATTCAAGAGGAAGATTTTTAGAAAATTAGATAATTTTAGAGCATGCTTATATATAAAGTTTTTTTTTTCTTTTGTTTTGATTGGATTTTTGGTTTTGGTTGGTTAAATTTGAAAAAGTTGGTATGATTAGTTGTTAGTGGATATATGATAAAATAATATTAAAATAAAATGATTAAAATTAAATTAAAGTAAAAGTAGAAGAGAGAAGATGTGATGTGATGGTTAGTTAAAATTATGTGAGTAGATGAATAGTGAATTATGGTTGATGTCGTGTGTAAGAATAATTGATTGATATTATTTAATTATATTAATAATATTGATGATAGTGAGGTTAAGTAAAGTTGAATTAAGAAAGTAGTTGAGTTAAAAATGATTGAATTTTTGGGGTTGAATTTGTATCCAAGCATGCTTAGGGATCCATTTTCAATTTTAGAATCTATATA